ATATTTATTCACCCAAACCATATTTGGTATCAATGTTATACCTAACAGTGCTTATATCTTTACACCTTTATGCTATTGAAAATAAGATTATTTTATCTTGAAGGTGAGGAAGAAGTAATATTGTGGATAAATATATATTGATTTATACTTAGGTGCCAAAACAAATGCATTTACAATACACATTATTTCTCATTAGAAACAATCCTGACTCTTTCTCTATTAAACTGATAATGTATTTTCCTGTCAATTTTCCATGCACTAATAAGTTCCTGCAGTGTTCATACTTGTTCAAAACTATACAGCAAGAAGGATTTCTGATGTGGAATAGGAATAGGAATATACTTTATTGGCCAAAAGATTGGGCACACAAGGAATTGGTCTCCTGTACACAAGCTCTCAGTGTACATACAAACACCGAAGTGACAGGTCATAGATCATAAATCATAAGATACAATCATCAATTATAAGATACAAACAAGTGATAAATCATAAGATACCAATGGGAGAAGGTAGTAGGAAAGATGAGATGAGAAAATGAGAAAGACAAGAAAGATAATAGCAACGCAGCCCTACTACATGGGTAAATATCTTTAGGCATAAATTGGTGCTTGTGATCAAATCCCAGTTACTAGGGACTGATGGCAAAAGACAGCTGTTACTCTTTGGATTATATTCTTTTCGAGATGCATCAGAATAGCCATTGTACGAGGAAGAATATTGAATCTATCTCAGTAGAAAAAGTTCTTATAGCAGTTGTTAGAAACAAGAACAAACAACCTGAGGTAAAACTGTCCAGTAATAGCAATCTCCTCCTCTTTGACCCACAAGGTTGACTTTGGGTTTGCTAAGAAGATCAGAGCAGGGCAAAAGACCTGGACTTTCTGTGGGACTCCTGAATACGTCGCACCTGAAGTCATTCTGAATAAAGGCCACGATTTCAGTGCGGATTTTTGGTCCCTCGGAATTCTTGTGTACGAACTGCTTACAGGAAAGTATGTCCCAGGAGACTGGATCCTTCTGGCCTACATTGAGGGCCCTATTGAGCTCGTAGGGCACACACCTACGTAAATGAGAGAGGAGCCCACAGCTCAAGGGTTGTACACAACTCTTATCCTACACCTGGGTGGCCCTGCATCGGGGGTATGCTTCAAAAATTTTAGCAAAGGGTTCTCTGCCCGGTTACTGGGTGGGTGTGGTCATGGTGGGCGTGGCCTAGTCAGCCTCCTACACCATGGCGGGAGCGTTTTTGCCCTCTCCGGGCTCCGGAGGCTCTGGAAGCCAGAAACGGGCCCATTTCCAGCCTTCCCAAACTTCCGGGGGGGAGGGCATTTTTCTCCCTCCCCAAGCCTCCGTGGACGCCCTGCATTTACCTGCACCCAAAACGGGTTGCGTGGGGACTCCAGGGAGGGGCAGGGTGGGGTGGGCAGGGCCAGCCAGGAGTGGGATTTGGGGGGGTTCTCTGAACTCCACAGAATCTTAGCTCAGGGCTCTCCCCAACCCCTGTGAACCCCCAGCAGCCCACTCCTGCCCCGCATGGATGCTTTTGCTTTCTAATCCATGGATTTGAGAATTGTTTCCCCTTCATCTTTGGGTGTGCAAGAAGCAGAGAAGAAAAAAGGGGTGGTAGATGAACCAGATTTGCCCTTTGTATGGCAGCTGCCTTTGGTGTCAAGGTGGCCAAAATTCTAGCTCATCGTTCTTACTTTCTTGCCCTCCTTTGAAGAGATAGGGCTAAAAATATGGATTTTTTCCCCCCCTTTACAGTAGGAGATTCGAAGGAGCAAATGTATACCTTAGCAACAGAGGTCAATTTTGGGGTCAATTTTGGTCATAAGTTGAGGACTACCTGTAACATCCCCCCCCTAAAAACTCTCTGTAACATAACATACAGGTTATGAGAATACCAGTTTGTGATCAATCACAATCCTGTCTTTGTTTAGTGGAACAGGCTAGCATGTGAGGAACAGATGCCTAGGTCCAACACACAATTTCTTTTTTCATAACCATGTATTTTCTCTCCCTCCCTTTCCCTCAATTTTGAAATGACACCTACTCAAGTCCTCCCTTTACTGGAGTCGATCAAATGATGACCTACAATTTGATTTTAAAAGGCGTTGAGAGACTGGATTTTCCCAGAATAATAACCAAGCGCCCTGAGGATTTGATTCGGCGGCTTTGCAGGTGAGAGAAGAGCAATTGTGTTGCAGAGGTGATGAAAAGAATAATTGAGCAGGGTCGTATTTCCTTTAACACCCAATGTCCAGCCAGATTTTAATCGACAATCTTATGTTTGTTGGTGTTATTCAGCAGTGTAATTCCATACAGATCTATTTAGACTGGTGTTTCTCAACCTGGCAACTTGAAG